TTCAGTAATTCAGTAATTCAGAAATTCGGAAATTCAGAAATTCAGAAATTCAGAAATTCAGAAATTCAGAAATTCAGAAATTCAGAAATTCAGAAATTCAGAAATTCAGAAATTCAGAAATTCAGAAATTCAGAAATTCAGAAATTCAGAAATTCAGAAATTCAGAAATACAGAAATTCAGTAATTCAGTAATTCAGAAATTCGGAAATTCAGAAATTCAGAAATTCAGAAATTCAGAAATTCAGAAATTCAGAAATTCAGAAATTCAGAAATTCAGAAATTCAGAAATTCAGAAATTCAGAAATTCAGAAATTCAGAAATTCAGAAATACAGAAATTCAGTAATTCAGTAATTCAGAAATTCGGAAATTCAGAAATTCAGAAATTCAGAAATTCAGAAATTCAGAAATTCGGATATTCAGAAATTCAGAAATTCAGAAATTCAGAAATTCAGAAATTCAGAAATTCAGAAATTCAGAAATTCAGAAATTCAGAAATTCAGAAATTCAGAAATTCAGAAATACAGAAATTCAGTAATTCAGTAATTCAGAAATTCGGAAATTCGGAAATTCAGAAATTCAGAAATCAGAAATTCAGAAATTCAGAAATTCAGAAATTCAGAAATTAAGAAATTCAGAAATTCAGAAATTCGGATATTCAGAAATTCAGTAATTCAGAAATTCGGAAATTCAGAAATTCAGAAATTCAGAAATTCAGAAATTCAGAAATTCAGAAATTCAGAAATTCAGAAATTCAGAAATACAGAAATTCAGTAATTCAGTAATTCAGAAATTCGGAAATTCAGAAATTCAGAAATTCAGAAATTCAGAAATTCGGAAATTCAGAAATTCAGAAATTCAGAAATTCAGAAATTCAGAAATTCAGAAATTCAGAAATTCAGAAATTCAGAAATTCAGAAATTCAGAAATTCAGAAATACAGAAATTCAGTAATTCAGTAATTCAGAAATTCGGAAATTCAGAAATTCAGAAATTCAGAAATTCAGAAATTCAGAAATTCAGAAATTCAGAAATTCAGAAATTCAGAAATTCAGAAATTCAGAAATACAGAAATTCAGTAATTCAGTAATTCAGAAATTCGGAAATTCAGAAATTCAGAAATTCAGAAATTCAGAAATTCAGAAATTCAGAAATCGCCGTTTTCCAGAACTTTCCATTGACTCATTTCTTCCCAGTTTCCCATATTTCATCCATGTAGTTGTCATCTAAACCGGAAAACTGAGATTCGTCGAGTGTGCTCCATGCTCCGCCCCTTTAATTGGAGCACATCTCCCCTCATCCATTTCCCCTCCTTCTTGAGCATTCGTTCTTTTTTTGGTGCTTTTTTCGAGGGCTCTTGATCTCTTTTTAGAGGCTTCAGAGTGCTCTTAAGATTCCAATTTTTCTTTTTATGCTCTCTTTTGGGGGCTCTTTTTGAGAAAATTTCTTTTTTATTCCAGAAATGTCACGCTTCTTCTTGCTCACCTTCTTCGTCCTCTTGGCTGTTTCCACCATGGCCATGCCTTCCGAAGACGTCCGTTCAAGATCCTGTGGAGGGATTCGTGTCTTCGAACGTCTTCAACGCGTCTGTGGCATGATTCTCTGCATTGACCAATCTGGTGGTGAGTCTCCTGGCATCCCTAGCTCCCTCTCTGCGGCGCCACACACTTAACCGCTTTTAACACCTTACTCTAATGTCGACGCGGTGGTGTCGGGGATGACGCACAGGCTAGTGGTCAAGAGACCATGGGTTCGATCCCCGTAGGAGTTTTCGTGGCTTTTAATGTTTTTCATTTCATTTTTCTAGACATTATGAGGTCTAAAATGATCATATTTAACTTTTAAACTTTCACACTTTCAGACCTTGCCACCACAATCTGCGGTCGCGGCCTCACCGACTTGGAACTGATGGAAATGTGCTGCCCGCAATAATTGTTTTTCATGTTAGCTATTATTCCATAAAAACATCTTCCGAAAACCCAACCACCAGTTTCTTCCATCTATAAAAATGCCACTTTTGGACAGCACCTATTTATCTTCTCCTTTTTCCCGATCCTTTTACAGCTTCCCCTGAAATTGGTTTTTCTTTGAAAATTTCTAATTTTTCAAATTTCAAGTTTTTTAAAGTTGAATTCAATAAATCACTGTTAAAAAAAACCTTTGAATTTTTGAACATTTCAGATTTCTTCTCAGAATTTCAGCATGTCATAGGTTTAGACTTCCAAAAATCCTGAATTTCCAAAATCCCAAATTTCCGAAATTCAGAATTTCTTAAAATCCGGAATTCCAAAAATCTAGGGTTTTTAAAAACCAAATTCCAAAAATCCTGAATTTCTGAATTCCAGAATATCGGAATTGCAACAATCCAAAACTCCAAAAACCCAGAATTCTGAAAATCCAGAATTTCAGAATTTTAGAATCTATAATTGCAGCGGTCCCTCTTCCGGAATTTTGTCACTCTTCCTTTATATTTGACGTCAAAAATAACAAAACATTTAACGATACAAAAAATATTTACTGCCTTTTTGCTTATAGTTTTCACGAATACAAAACTGCATTTTTGGGATTCTGCGAATTCCAGAAGGCATCAGACGTTTCAGAATCTCAGTTTTCTGATCCATGGCCTTAATGCGATTCGGAAACTCTCATATTTTATGGAAAAAAAAGTTCTTAGACATGAAAAAAAAAATTTATGCGCATTAATAATTTGCTCCCGGTGCCAGGAGCAACACCGGGGAGCCAGGGACTAGAAAAAAGAGCATTAAGAATATTAAACGGATATTCTAATTTGTTATTCCAGGAAATGTTTCGTGGAATAGTATTAAAGTATTAAAAAACGGATAGAGGAGAACGGAAAAAATGTTTCTAGAGAGGTTCAGGGGAGCAGAATATAGGACCTCAGGGGTCAAAAAATGGCATGTCCTAACTTTTTTAGACGAGGCCTAACTTTTCTAAGACATGACCTAACTTCCAATGGGGTTGTTCATGTAGCGAAAGTGTGTATTTCAAAACGCATTTCAATACATTTCGGTGGCACCGAAATGCTTTGAAATGCATTTCGCGACACTCCTGCACTGAATTTCGGGGCAGACTTTCGCTACATGAATAACCCCACAAAAATCATGGCCTAACTTTTTCTGAGGCGCGGCCTAACTTTCTAAAGCGTGGCTTAACTTTTCTGAGACATCGGCTAGCCGTTTTTAAGCGAGGTCTAACTTTCCAAAGTCATGGCCTAGCTTTTTCGAGGCGTGGCCTAACTTTTCTGAGACATGGCCTAACGTTTTCGAGGCATGGCCTAACTTTTCTGAGACATGGTTGAACTTCCCAAATTCATGGCCTAACTTTTCAAAGCGTGGCCTAACTTCCGAAAGTCGTGGCCTAACTTTTCAAAGCGTGGCCTAACTTTTGCAAGGAATGTCGTAACGTTTTCGAGGGTGGCCTAAGTTTTCAAAGCGTGGCCTAACTTTTTCGCGACATGGCCTAACTTTTTCTATACCCTGGCCTAGTTTTCCTCCAAAATTTTTTGCTCTTTAAGAAAAAAAGGAAGAAAAGTTTATTATATTTTCTTAAAACATTTTTTTGGCTCCTGCTGGCGTAAATAACAAAATTAGAGATTAACATAAAAAGGCATACATACCGTAAAATCTGTATTGATATTGCGCCTCTATTTGAATTGCCCCTCTAATAGACTTGCACCCCTTGAGGGCACTTGAAAAATAGACTTGCAGCCTTTAATTGAATTGCCCCCGTAATACAATTGCATCTCCAGCAGAATTGCGGCTCCGCCGGGAGTACTGTGCAATTTTTAGTCTGTGACACCGTGACGAACAATTGCACAGTTGTTTTTCGAATTTCTTTTTTTTTAAACTACCTACTTAATTTCTGATTTATTTTTATTTTTCTTTGTTTTTTTAACAATATTTTCCATTTATTGAAGCGAGCAACACGAGCAATGAGTTCTGAAGAAGTCCTCGAAGACGTGGAAAACGTAGAAGACGTGGAAGACGTGGAAAACGTGGAAGACGTGGAAAACGTGGAAGACGTGGAAGACGGTGAAAAGTTGGTGGAAACTCTAGAAAGAGAAAGCGTGGAGCCCACCCCTTGGATTACAAGCTTACGGTGGTGAAATGGGCAGAATCAAAAAATAACACGGAAGCAGCTAAGAAATTTGGAGTTTCAAGACAAAATGTGCAACAATGGAGAGCTCAGAAAGAAAAAATAATAGCAACAATCGCTGAAAATGGAAAAAAGAAAAAACGGCTTGATGGCGCAGGGCGTAAAGTGAATGATAAAGATTTTGATACTAAACTTGCGGAATGGGTCCGAGAGCAAAGAGAAAAAAAGCTTCGTATTACTCGTATTGGAATCCAGAATCGCGCCAAGTCTATTTCAAATAGTGATATGAAGGTTTGAAAACAGATTACCTACTTGAGATTAAACATTAAATGTTGCAGTTCTCGAATGGATGGCTGGTTTCTTTTTTGAAGCGGCATGGATTTTCGAGTAGACGTGCTACAACAGTCTGTCAAAAACCGCCAGAGTTTTATGTGGAGAAAATTATTGACTTTCTCCTTTATGTGGAACGATTAATTACCATGAATAATTATGACAAAATTTTCGCATGTGATGAGACGGCGGTTTATCTGGATTGTTCGAATAGTTTGACTGTAGCGGATCGAGGATCTAAACAAGTCAGCACACTCAAAAATAACAAGCTAAACGTTTCAATTTCAGGTTTCAGTGAAAACCACGGGACACGAGAAATTGCATGTTACAGTAATGCTGTGCGCTCGATCAGACGGTTTTAAGTGCAAACCTTTTGAACTTCTTCCAAGAAAAAGACCAGTGCAAAGTATTGAGGAAACATTTAGAAAAACTTTGCAGTTGGTTTGGTGTGACAGAACATTTTTCAACGATGAAATCACAAAAACTTTTCTTGAAAAAGTTCTCGGTCACTCAATGTTCGGAAAAAGGTTGTTAGTATGGGACTCTTACCGTTGCCACATCAGTACAGACACTAAAAAAGTATTGAAACAACTGAGACTAGACACTGCGGTGATTCCTGGAGGATGCACAAAATTCTTACAAGTGAGTAGATTTTATTGAAACTTTGCGTGACCCGATTTTTCAGGCTCCAGATGTATATTGGAACGCAATGTTTAAATCTTTCATCAGAAAAGAGTACGAAGATTGGATGGTTCATGGAACGAAATCGTTCACCCCGGCGGGAAATATGCGTGCTCCCAGTATGGAAGTTTATTTGAAATGGATTCAATTGGCGTGGGAAAATATCCCGAAGGAATACATTGTAAGATCATTCAAAGGATGCGGATTAAAAAATGGAAGAAATGGCGAAGATTATGAGGCAATTCATTGTTTCAAGAAAGATGGAGAAATTCCAGAAGGCGTACAGTTATTGAAGACAAGACGAGCAGAACGAGAAATGGAAGAAATTCAGGAGATTTTGGGAGATATTGAAATTGAGGAAGACGATGGAGAAATGAACCATGCCGAGGAAGAAGACAATAACTATGACAGTGACGCCTCAATTTTTTGAATATTTTCCTTTTGTTGTGTTCAATTTGTTACTTTTTTGTTGATTTTCATAATAAAACTTTTTTTTCAAAATTTTCGTAGTTTGAAAAATAGAATTGCAGCCTCTATTTGAATTGCCCCTCTAATAGAGTTGCACCCCTTGAGGTGACTTGAACAATAGACTTGCATGCAATATCAATACAGATTTTACGGTATATGACACTTTTATTAGTGTAGATCAAATGTCAGTATATGTATAGCAATGACGTAGATTGGAGGATTACGGTAGTTTTCACTTTTAAAGAAAAATTAAAAAATTTGAGACAATTTTCTTAATTGGGGCGATATTTGAGACATGTAATATTTGATTCTGCGAAAAATAAGATGACATCAAAATATACTTGAGAAAACAGATCACCGTTTGGGAAGGGAAAGCTAGAATAGAAATTTTGGAGGTGGCCGAGTTTTTGGGGGGGGGGGGAATTCTAGGCCACAAAAATGAACTCTATGGAAGCTAGTCATGATTATACTTATTTGAAAGCTCTTGACGTGCTTAGTTGATTTGTGTAACTTTTATAGCGATTGGACAAAAACTGGCCGAGATACGATAATGGCCGAGTTTCGGGAATTCTAGGCCACGAAAAAATAGTGAGGAAAACTAGGCATGATTATATTCATTTGAAAGCTCCCGACGAGCTTGATCAAACAATATAGTTTTTTATAGTTTGGAGGAGAACTGACCGAAATACGGTAGTGGCCGAGGTTTTGGGGATTCTATTTAGGTCACGAAAAAAAATCCGAGGAAGGCTAGTCATGATTATACTCATTTGAAAGCTACCGACCAGTTGAATTGATTGGTCTAAGTTTCATGAAATTTGGAGCAAAACTGACCGAGATACGATAGTGGCCGAGTATTTGGGAATTCTAGACCACGAAAAAAAATTCAAACGGAACTAGTCATGATTATACTCATTTCAAAGCTCCTGACAAGTCAAATTGATTTGTGTAGTTATCACAAAATTTGGAGGAAAACTGGCCGAGTTTTTAGGAATTCTAGGTCACGAAAAAATTTCAAGGGAACCTAAGCGTGATTATACATATTTGAAAGCTCTCATCATGACAAATTTAGCGATATAATTATCTCAATGCTAAACTCTAAACGAACCAAGTTATGGTATTCTCAAAAAATAAATTGTAACTAAATTTTTTTCTAATTTTCAACTATGTCTAACTTTGCTCATTTTGCAGCTAGAGATCTGCTTTTTAGCTTGAATGAATTCTCAGAATTTGACAAGTTTGAAAAATTAAAATATTATTCTATGAAAGTGATATGTACTTTGAAAATTTTCAACTTAAAAAATGTTCCAAAAAAATTTTTTTCTTCAAAAAAAAATTTTTTTTGAATCTTTATAACTCGGCTCAATTCGCAGCTAGAAAACTGGTTTTTAGTTTAGTATGATTCTGAAAACCCAGAAATTTCAAAATTTTAGAAAAAACATTTTTTGAATCTTCATAACTTGGCTCATTTTAATGTTTTGAAACTGGTTCTTAGCTTGAAATAATTTTCAAAACCTGTTGAATTTTATTCTTCATTTTTTTTCACTCAATTTGCTTCCAGAAGTTGTTTCAGAAGACGTCAAAATGCAGGATCCAAAAAATCAAAATTTTTGAGATCATAATTCAATTTTTCCATTCACTGACGCACGAAAACTATTTATTTTTAATGAAATTCGATTTTCCGTTTTTTGTGCTGTTAAGCGGATTGGATACATTTCTTCCGGCTATTTTGGGTACTTTTCTCTAGATTTTTCGGATTTTTAGGGATTTTAAGAAACCTAAAAAACATGTTTAGACAAAATTTTTGTGTCTGAAAATCCTAAAAATCTGAACATCCTATCAAAAATCCCACACATATCTTCCCCCACCTAATCCCTATCTTATGCCCTTATCAAGCTGCTCTCAGAAAGAGCACAAGAAAAGTGGGCGGAGCCTATTCTCATACGCTTGACCGAAAAAGGAGACCTTATAATTGTATATGAACCGCTTGACTTCAAACATTTTTTTTCATTTTCTTTAAACTTTTTTTGAAAAAAATTTTATGAAAAAAAAATTTTTTTTTTGAAATTGTTTTTTTTTTTAATTTTTCAAAAATTCCAGACAAAATTGGAAATTTTCAGAATGTTCAAAATCTTCACAATTCTCTGTCTTTTCGCTGTCATCTCGTCTATCGTTTCCACGTCTTTGGATTCTGAAGCCGACGTCACGTCTTCGGATTCTGGAGTCAAATTGACGTCAGATCTGGAAGTTGTGATCCCTGAAGAAGACGTTAAACTTCCCAGGGACAAGAATTTCGACTGTGTTGGAAACTGGACCACGCTCTGCTCACGATCCAAGAAGATGGGGAAGAATGGGTGCCCGAAAAAGGAGCAAATGGACGGTAAGACCAATAATTTGAAAATTGAAAATTAAATTTTAGAATTGCCGGGTTTTGAGGATCATTCTAAACTAAAAACCTGTTTTCTAGCTGCAAAATGAGCCGAGTTACGAATTTTCAAAAAAAAAAGTTTTTTCAAAAAAAAATTTCTTTGGATAATGCTGTAAGTTTAAAATTTTCAAAGTACATATCACTTTTATAGAATAAAATTTGATTTTTTCAAGTTTTTCAAATTATGAGAATTCATTCAAACTAAAAATCAATTTTCTAGCTGCAAAATGAGCCAAGTTATGAAAATTCGAAAAAAAAATAGTTCAATTTTTTGAAAATACCGTAACTCGGTTCATTCCAACTAACGAAGTCTGAAAACTAAATCAATAGATTTGTCGTAAAAAGAGCTTTCAACTGAGTATAATCATGACTAGCTTCCCTCGAATTTTTTTTGGTGACCTAGAATCCCCAAAACCTCGGCCACTACCGTATCTCGGTCAGTTCTCCTCCAAACTCTATGAAAGCTACACTGTTTGATCAAGCTCGTCGGGAGCTTTCAAATGAGCATAATCATGGCTAGCTTCCTGTAAAAAAAATTTCGTGGCCTAGAATCCCCCAATCTCAAAAATTCCTCTTCCAGCATTCATCCGCGAGGAATGCCAACTGAACAACCTGTTCTCTCAACAACTCATGGACTGCTGCACCTGCTACAAATTCGACCAACCCGGCTGTGCGGCGGCCCCGAAGTTTCCAGAATTTCAATAAAAAATTTCTCTGAGTCTCTTACTGTTTCTGTCTCTCTCTCTCTCTCTCTCTCTCTCTCTCTCCACAACTTTTGTATCCTATTTATATGTGAAAATCCTTCTATTTTTAATAAAGACTCGAAATTCCAGACATATTTCAGAGAAAATTTTCAGATACTCTTAAAATCTGAAAATGTTAATCTCCGCTGATTAGTGATAAGAAAAAAAAGAAGTGAGAAAAGTCCATGATAAAGATTTATCACGGATCAAGACTTATTTTTTAAATCCGTTGGGATTTTTTCTATCGGTGCCAGGTGCGAAAAAAAGGAATTTGGCTAGAGTGCAGACAGTCGGAAGAGGGATGAATATGAGCTGAAAATGACTGAAAGTTGCTCGAAAACTGACAAAAACACATTTTTACACATTTTCTAACCTTAAAAACCCTTTTCAAAACTAATTTTTAACCCTAAAACCAACTTTCTAGCTATTTTTCAAAAAACTGCTAATGTGGCCTAGTGGGATTTTCGACGGGAAATTTGGATCTAGGGGTCTCTGGTTCGAACCCCACCGGTGGCAAATTTCTTTCGGAAAGTGTTTTTAGGGGTTTTCAAGAGCGGGAAATTTGAAAATCCAGGTTTTAAAAGTTCACAAAACATTCAAAAATTACTTAAATTCAAAAGTTCATTTGACTTTACTTCGGCACATCTCTGACAAACACCTATTTTTGTATTTAATTAACAAAATACCTTTTTAAAAAACATTCAAGTAGAATTATATGAATTGTTCTGCAAAAAAGGACACTACAACTATTGATGCGTGTGAGCGGCCGGGGAACAAATGAGAGCCATCTGGTTGGAGCCATTTAAACTATGTTTAAGTTGAAATTATGGTCATATTGCACGTTCGTTTGTAGGTCTTTTTAAGTCCTACATTTTACACTTTATTCCATTTCAAAATGTTTAGTTTGAAGCGAGCTATGCGTCTTTAAGTGAATGATCCTTCTCCGTTTTAGTCAAACAAATGTTAATATTATAAAAAATTACAAATCCTACAAAATGATATAGTTTTCAGTTAGTTTCGCACAAACGCTACTAATAAATGCACTTGCAAAACTGACAGTGTCGTCTGCTGGCGCGTTTCTTGTGTATGGAGGTGCATCTGTTTGAAGAGTACTGCGTTAAAAGGCAGCAAATCATGATGAATCAAATTGTATACCAAATTATAGGCCTTTTCAAGTTCAACAACATACCATTAAGTTTATTTGAAAATCTTGATTTTACAGCCAGTTATGCGTCTTTTTGTGATTGATCCTTATTTGCACCCTGCCGCGGGGATTGGGTTCCGGCACTTTTCTAAACGGATTTTCCGTCGGAAATTCATCCTACAAAACTAATTAAATTATATATCAGTTTGTAGAACTTTTCAGGATCTACAGTTTACATTTCATTTTAATTAAAAATGTTGGGTTTGAAGCGAGTTATGCGTCTTTTTTGTAATCTGTTCTCAGCTCGACTTGTAATTCTTTTCTAACTGCTGGTTTAGCGGCATCTGTGTCGGACTGTCTTAATGCAAAACTATTTTAATTGTATATCGTTTAATATATCAATTCAAGCTCTACGTTTTCCTTTTTATTTTAATTTGAAATTTTGAGTTTGAAGCGAGATATGCGTCTTTTTCTGGAACGGTTCTTGAGTCATCTGGTCGTATTTTTCGATTCCTTTGTTTAGCGGCTTCTGTGTCGAGAAGTCGTCAGGCAAGACTAGTCAAATTATATATCAATTTTTAGATTTTCTCAAATCCTACATTTTGCAGTTTAGCTTATTTTGAAGTGTTAAGTTTGGAGCGAGTTATGCATCTTTTTGTGAATTTTTCTTAAATCGTCTGGTGGCACTTACCAAGCCGCTTGTTTAACGGCTTCTGTGTTGGAACATCCTTTTGCAAAACTTGTTACATTACACACATTTTGTAAATATTTTTTAGCTCTACAACCCACAATTTGATTCCTCTGAAAATCTAAAATATGAAATGAGTTATGGCTCGGCGCGTGAGCCAACCATCCCCCAGGAGACACTTTCTCACGGTTATGACGAACAACAAGATTCTTTATTGACATCATTATTGTGCGCACATTTTCACATCATCCATTATAAATGTCTCCTTCTATTTTTCCCTTAAGAGGCTCCGTGAGCAATTCAGAAGACGTCATAACAACAAATTTTCATTCAAAAGAAAGAAAAAGGTCCCATTAAGCTTACTGTCATTTCACATAAAATATATATCACGGTTAGGTTACAAGAAAAAAAGATGTCAAAGAAGATGTCATTTCACTGGTATTGAAAAAAACTGAAGAATAAATCTGGTACTTGGTTAACAACGTGGAAGAAGAAGTTATGCTTCCGGGCAGATGTGTGCCATGAAGTCGTTAATGTCCACGTGGGTCTCGCAGGCCGCGACGATGAGTTCTGGAAAAGAAAACTATTTTGGTAGCCAAGAAGTGAATCTAGAAAACACACCTACCCTAAAAACACCCACCTTAAAACACCCACATTAAAAGACCCACCCTAGAAAACACCTACCGCTAAAAACCCTAAAAACACCCACCCTAGGGATATCCTAAACCACCTACCCTGAAAACACCCACCTTAAAAACTCTTACTCTAAAAATACCCACCCTAAGGATACCCTAAAGCACCTACCCTAAAACACCTACCCTAAAAACTTTCACCCTAAAACACCCACCCTGAAACCACCCACCCTAAAAACACCTAGCCTTAAAACACCTAACTTAAAAACACCTACCCTAAAACACCCACCCTAAAAACACCCACCCTAGGGATACCCTAGAAAACACCTACCCTAAAACACCTACGCTAAAACAGCCACCCTAAAATCACCCAAAAAACAACTAGAACCTAGGTGGCCTAGGAAAAGTTTGCTGGCGTAAAGGTGGCCTAGAAAACTCACCATCCACATGCTCCACAAACTTTCTTCCCTCGCAAATGGCGTTGGCGTAGTCGGTCATCTTGCGAAGACACATTCTGGTGGCTGATCCAGCCATTCCGGTGGCTCCAGAAGTTTCCATGACGGCAACAGCGAGAATCAGAAGAAGGATTACGGCAGCCGACTTCATTTCTGAAGACGTGGTGGATCCTGAATAGTAAAACCTTAGAAAATCTCGCTATTATATACACCCAGAAGTTCCCCAGACTCCGCCCCCTTTTTTTAGAGTCTGAGTAATCTGCCTACAATTCTTTCAGACATTTAGGCTCCGCCCACTTTTCTGGAGGGGTGTGCGTCATGGAAAATGGAAGTTTTGCAATCATTTTTAGGTTCGAAAAATCTAAAATTGAAATTTTTATATAAAATGCGTCAGTAGACAAATGACTAGCCAGAAAAGTCATATGGCAATCAGTAATCAACAGGAAAAAGTCATCGTCTGTGACTGGATAAATACATATTTTTGGAATCCCTAAGTGGCGAGAGATTTTTGAATTGTGAGCTCGAATAATAATAATAAACATGTGATTCATAGACAATTTCCGGTTTTTATGGAATCTGAAAAAAAAATTCATTAACTGAAAATAATAATAAATTGCTGAAATAACTGAAATTCTGGTGGAAAAACGCTTAGAAATGACTCTGAAATCGTCTGAAAAAGGCCTAAAAAATGAAATTGGAAAAAAAATGGTATATGGTCTCAAAATGGTTAAAAATGCTTCTGAAAAATGCAGAAAAAATGGGCTAAAACTGTTTTTTAATGATCTGAAAAATTCTGGAAAAAAACGGTTAAAAATTTTTTTGAAAAGAATGATCTGAAAATGGCTTAAAATAGTCTAAAATTAACCGAAAATGATCGGAAAAAGTCTGAAAAAATTCGTCTGGAAATTTCTCGGAAAATGCTCTACAGGATTTTTGAAAGAAATCATGGTTTTCTTGGAAAATTAATGAAAATAACTCGAATGGTTGAAAATTGGCTAAAATTGACTTTAAAAAGTCTGAAAGTCACCCTAAAACGGCAAAAAAATGACCAAGAAAAATTTGCAAACATGACCCCAAAAAAAGCAAAAAATGTCCAAAAAATTGGAAAAAATGACCGGAAAATTTTGGGCTGAAAAAGGGCTGAAAATGGCGAAAAATTCTCTGAAAATCGCATGAGAAAATCTGAAAAAAAAGTCTGAAAGTGACCTTCCTGGACAAAAATATGTAAAAGTAGTCTGGAAAATTCTGAAAAAAAATGGTCCGAGAATCACTGAAAATAGCTTTGAAATCCTGAAAATTTCTGAAAAAAAACGGTCAAAATTTTAATCTAATAAAATAATTGTCTGAAATTTTCTTTGAAAAATGATCTGAAATTTTTTTTTTAATTGTCTGGAAATTACTCAAAAATGGCTTAAAACAATTGTAAAAATGTACTGAAAATGACTAAAAATGACCCAAAAATCGGTAAAAATGACTCATTTCTCGTTTTGCGTTTTCAGACGACCAGGATTACGGTAGACACCTTCATTCCCCCCAAGCGCCTTATACCGTATTTGCTCTAATAGAAACCCACCCCTTAAGTGCTCTTTGAGCTCAATTATCTAGCTTCTTCCAAATGACATCAAAAATCTGTCAACTGACAGAATATTGGTCTTATTATGATAAACATTTTGTTTGTTTATCACTTTCTGATATCTTTTACAGGAACCGAGGTAATTGGGCTCAAAGTGCACAGTACCTCTTTCTTCAATTGTTGCTGGCATTTCTAGCTATCCATTCCGTCCCTTTTCTCCAACCAAACTTTATCCCCCATTCTCACGTCTCCGTTCAACGTCTTACGACCAACAACTCATAAGCATTGCATAGTTTTTTTGTTGCTATTCGTTTAGTTTAGTTTCTCGAATCTTCTCCTCCCACGAAACACAACTTCCAAGAGACGCAGACATTCTCTTTGAGGGTCCAGCCGTCCTTTTTTCTGCTCCGTGGGGCAGGTGGACCCTCAAGAGTCACAGACATTCTCTATACACATAAACATCAGCAATGAGGGTCCAGCCGTCCTTTTCTCATCGCCGCGGCTCCCTTCCTTGCTCCGGGGTGCTCTCAGCTTCACGGCGCGAGATTGTCTCTTCGTTTAAAGGCGCATGGCGGGCTGTTATACAATAAAGAGGGTCCGGCGCGTTTGTTCGGGGCTCTTCCCGTCCTCTTGGAGCCACACACAGGAGAAATATGTGCTCTTTTTCAAGAAGCGAGAGCTGTGCTTTTTTCAGGACGAAGCACTGAGCCTCTTGGTCAGAGAGAAGGCAGGCTTACACAGAAAAGAGAGCTCCGTGTGCTCTTTTTCAAGAAGAGGACCCGAGGACGCGTGTGTCGTTCGGCGAGCAACTGCCTGACAAGACGAGAGGACGAGTAGTCGGCTCTGTGAGCCAAGAAAAGAGGATGAAGTAAGAACATCGCGCCTGCCACGGCTCACGGAGCTACGGAGCCGCGAGATGGCAAAAACACACTGACTAAATGTCAGAAAAAGAAAACGTGTCGCAAAAACGAATGAGAAACGCTGTCGCCTCTTAGAAGTGCGCTTAGGGACATCTGGACCTCAGGGTACACAGACGGACAAAAAATACGCGCACTTTGAGGTTATTTATCTCATTTCCTGTAAGAGATATCAAAAAGTGATCAACTGATAAAACATTGCTGATATTATTACATTTTTGATGTCTTCTACCGTAACTGAGCTAATTGAGCTCAAAGTGGAAGTATAGAACAGGCTTCTATCAGAGTAATTAAGTGAGTTTCATTATACGACCCCTACACCTCTGGGACTCAATTTTATACAAAAAGTTATCCATTACAAAATTGAAGCCCAATACTAGTTACATATTTTCTGAAATTTTGAAGGCAGTCGGATTAATTTGACCTACTTTTGTAAAGCTCTCTTTTTGATCATTTACCGTAGTTGCTCTAATAGAAGCATTAACCTTAAACGTACACTTTGAGCTCAATTATCTTGGTTCCTATGTGAGATATCAAAAAGTGACCAACTGATAAAATGTTTATCACATTATCAGTAATATGTTATTAGTGAACACTTTTTTGATATCTTTTATAGGAACCGAGATGATTGAGCTCAAAGTGCACAACTAAATATTTGAAGTTTAGTGATAGTCCAGTGGTTTTTGGTTATAGAAACCTTCAATGATTCAGATTTTTAAAACTTCTGACGCTCTCATTATGCTCTCATTATCCTTAATATGTTCTTATCATTGCCTTCTTATCAATTTCTTTTTAGTGCATCAGACACCAAATTAGAGGGGAAATCTTAAATGATCGGATAATGTTTGAAAAATGAAAATGATTGGGAACATGTACTGAATTGTTGATCGTTTTGTTGCAGGGATCGGATTAACAGATCAAGATGGGGGGAATGCAAAATGTGATCCTCTGGAAATCTGAAAATTGAGGGAACAGAGGTTCTGAGATTCAACAAATCTGATCGTTCGAGATTCCGAGTTTTTAGGATTCGAAGAAGTATATTCTAAAATTTGGAAAATCCGAAAATTCTGAAATTTTAAATTTTGAAGGTTCAGGTGGCTCACAATTTTCGGGTTTTTGGATTTTTTGAATATTCTTTTTAGGATTTTTGGTATTGTGATATTTTCGGATCTTAGGATCCCTAGGAATTTTGGATTTTTTTTTTAATTTTAGATTTTTTGGAATTTTAGATATTCGGGGTTTACAGAATTATGGATTTTCGGAAATTTGGATTTTTTAAATTCAGAATTTCAGAATTTCTGAATTTCAGAATTTCAGAATTTCGGAATTTCAAAATTTCAGAATTTCAGAATTTCAGAATTTCAAATTTTCAGAATTTCAGAATCTCTGAATTTCTGAATTTCTAGGTTTTCGAATTTCAACATTTCAGAATATAAAAACTTCTGATTTCAGATATTCTGGAATTCTGAGTATCTGAAATACTCAAGAAGTTTCAAAATCTCAGAAATCCAAAAATCCAAAAAGTCCAGAAGAACCTCCGAATTTAAAAAATTTCAGATTTTTAAACTTTTGGATTTCTTGTACTTCTCTATTTATTTTTCTGAGATTCTGAGATTCTAGAAAAATCGTCTAGAAGATTCCTTCTTCTTGTTTTCTGTTTTTCCCCCCAAATTCAATTTCCCGCCGTTCCTTGGCCCCCTAAAGGGTGTCCCTGGACGCCTGCGTCCCTATTTTTCTGGACCATAAACCATTTGAGTCCTTCTGCCTCTAGTCACATTTCCCAAAAAAATCCCAAGAAATGTTCTTCCCAATAAAATTTTTCGCGCTTTTCTTGGTCGTTTTTGCCTTATGTGCCCATGGATTTGGCGTTATCCAGTCACCAATTAAAGCTTTTGAAATTGCCAAAAACCAACCCGATTGCCAGGAAAAACTGACCAATTATGCCATGTCAATGTGTGCTGGAGAGTGTAAGGAAGGTTTTGAAGGTGAGGGACGATCTTTAAAGCGCATAACTATCTTCGAACTTGATATTTTGGATGAATTAATACATAAAAACGAGCATCGTAAAAGATCTTCAAACTGGCGTAAAAATCATAAATAATGCTCTAAAACGAAAAAAGTTATGCGTTTTTAAACACGGCAAGGTGAAAAGGGCCATTCTTGCTTTAAAGGCGCATAACTTTTTATGTTTTTGAGATTTAGTTAAAATTTTTATATCATCTTCTTGCCCATTTAAAATGCTACATTTGCATTTATAATTCGTTTGAGAAATGTTAAATTTGAAGAAAGTTATGTGCCTTTAAACGGCAAGGTGAACAGAGCACCCCGACCATCTTGTTTTAAAGGCTCATAACTTTCTTTAAGATCAACGTTTTGAATCGATTGAAAAATCAAAATGTAGCATACTTGTAAACGGGCCGGGNCGGGNTTTTTNNGGAATTTCNGAGGCCCGGCCCGGNCCGGCCCGGCGGGACTGTTATTCCACAAGTTCTGAAAATTTCAAAAACACATAAGGGGGACCCTTATGTGATTTTTTTCGATAAAAAAATTTTTTTCGAGTTTTTTCAAATATTTTTTGATCAAACAGACAAACAATCCAAAAAGCACAAAAAAATATAGAAAATTGTATTAAGAGCTCAAAATTCGGTTCAAAATGACAAA